CCCCCAGGGGGTGATTTCTCACTTTTTCTCTCACTGTCTCTCTCTCTCCGACATTGCATGCACTCTATGGGAAAAACAAACCAAAACTCAATGTCTTTGGGAGGGTTTGCAGAACCCTCCTGGTGTCTATGGAGTTGTCTGGGTTAGATAAATGGCGTGGAGAAGGAGTAGATGCTAAGTAAACATGCTAGTGTGTGCTTATTTCATTCCATTCTCAAAATAACCCCGTTCAACAGGGGAGCCTTAAGAAGGCTAGGGCACTTGGCCACAGCCTCATGCCATGAGTGGACTTTTACCATAAGGTCTCTCAGAATGTTTCCTATCAGATGCTTCTAAGTTATTCCAAGCCCTCCTATGCCCTGCATTGAAAGGCCCTAACCCTACAGCCAATGATTCAGCCACAAAACGCTTCTCTGTCTGTCACCTTTTTGGAGACAGGAAATAAATAATCAACAATCAAATATCTCCAGTTACAAATATCATGTTGTGAAACTGTCTTTATTAATACGATCTTAATATATTGAAAAATTTAGATTTTAATGTGATACCCTTTAAAAATTATCTTAAAGAGGGACTAGCAGTTGGCGTAATAACTATGTCGCTGGACTCCCATGTAGTCGACCAGGGTTCAAGTCCTGGACCCAGTGGCTTAAATTCACGCCGGGCACGTGTGCGTGTGTGCCCAAGATCCATAGAGGAGAAGGGATTGCGGCGTGGCTATTCCCCCTGGTGGGTGATTTCTTGCTTTCTGTCTCTCTGTCTCTCTTTGTCTTTCTGGCAAGCCTATAGCCAAAACCTCTCCAAACAACAACAACAAAAATTATATTAAAGGGACCAGCAAGTGACATAGTGGTTAAAGCACAGAACTTCCATGTTACCAACTGCGGTTCAAGTCTTAGACCCCCGCATCTTGAAATTCACACTAGGTGCCCAAAATCCCAAGAGGAGAATGAAGGAGAGGGGATTACAACATGGCCATCCTCCCGGGGGGTGGGGGGAGGTGATTTCTCGCTTTCTGTCTCTCTGTCTCTCCAGCAAGTGCATGCACCCTATAAAAAAAAATACTATCAATTTTTTTTTATTAAAAATAGAAGCCCTGGAAAGAAAGATACCTGATATTAACAGCAATTTTTTTGAAGTAGAGGAGGGCAGATTTACTGGGAATGTTACATTTTATTATTTTTCCTTACACTATGTTCTAATTTTTCAGCAATGTACAAGTAGGATGTGTCTTAATTGAATAACAATGGGCCAATAGAAGGTTTTGTTCCCCCGCCTCCGAAAGATATTTGGGACCACTTTCATAAAGTGGCTGCTGAGAAACTGTGAGCGTCTACACCGGCGGCTGACCTTGTTCTCCCACAGGTCTTTGTGCTTACGATTTTTGGTTTTTTGTTTGTTTTTTTTTTTTTTACATTTCAGGGAACATAATACAGTGGGATCTGAGCTTTAGGCTGTCATGTCACGTGGCTGTGGAACAAATAACTGGGCAGGGACATCATAGGCACTTCCATCACTTTTGTTTCTACACGACACAGAGAAAGGAAAGGGGCTTGTCCTGACTCACATTGCCTTCTGCTTTCCCCTTGTTTCTCTAATATCCAAACGGAAATTCCATCAAATGTCCTTAGAGCCACCCCCACCCCCACCCCCGATTCCTTCTTTCCAGGTATGTAGTCCCCATAAGTAGTCCCCCACCTTACCTTTCATTTCTTTTGTAACTGATTTGGTAAAAGTCACAGGAAGTTAGGCTGGCAGGTGGCATGGTGGTTAAGGTGCTGGACTCCCACATGGTCGACCATGGTTTGAGTCCGGGACCTGGAAGCTTGCCTTCTCATTTCCCCTTTCTCTCTCTCTCTGGTCAAATTACAAAATAATAACAAATTAAATTAATTAAATAAATAATTCTTTGCAGGGGGAGGGAGTTCACAAGAGGTCATCTTTGTGGGAGAAAGTACAACCCAAAGACGAACACCATGGGCTCTGACTGCCCAAGTTCACATCCCTGTCATAGTGACTTGAGTTGCTAAGATGTTATACTCTACATGGAAGTCCTGGGTTCTATTCCCAGCCCAACCTAAAGGCTGGGTTCCAGCTGAGATGCTAAGGCAAGAGGATCGTGACACAGTGAGACCCTGTCTTAAAAACAAATAAATCACACACCCACCCCATCTGCCTGAGTTCAAATCCCCACTCTGCCCTTGGCTAACTAGATTATCTCTGGCAAGTCCCTTCACCTGTGCTAGAATGTCTTTATCAGTGAAGGGATAACTTTCATAGCCAACTCTCCGGGCTGACTAAAGGAGATAATATAATCTTGGCAGCATGTAATAGGGAGTAGAGACCCCCCTTCCCTTTTTTCATCTGCCTTTTTTTTCTCCCTCCTGAAAAGGTGACCAAAGACGCAAAGTGGTGTTTGGAGACACAACATTTTCTTTTCTTCTGAGGTTCGAAATGCGACTCGTGGCCTTGGAGGTAGGTCACCCCAAGACTCTCACAGTATCTGAGGCACGCATGGCCCCTGGCTGGTGCAGGAGGCCTCAGGCCAATTCCTGGCTGACAGCCAGACCACAACACACAGCTCTGCTGGACTCACCTGAAATGTTCTTGAAGATGAGCCTTTTCGAATATATACAATGAATAAGATTTTGGTTTTCTCTTAATAAATTAATCTTGGACATAGTCAGGGAAGATTTTCTCAGCAACATTTTAAGCCCAATTTGTCTAAAGCTAAATATTGTGGGAGCTGTTTAGCTTTCTTATGGCTATCTTTTAATGAGGAGTCTATTCCTGAATAGCTTAAACAGAATCTAGGATATAATTAAAATATCTTGAATACATTTTTGGATACAAGTGTTCAAGAAGTGTCAATTCATTGAGTAGTACATCAAACATATTAAAATAACATTTTAGAAGAACGTAGTCATTATTCAAAAGGTATATAGTTGTAGTCATTAACTATATTCAATAAGAATCTTCTTTAAGAGGTTTTAGGGGTCCAGCAGGTGGCATAGTGGTTACGGTGCTGGGCTCCCACATTGTCAACTACAGTTCGAGTCCCAGACCTGGCAGCTTGAAACTTGTCAGGCATGTGTACATGCATGCCCAAAATCCGGAGAGGAGAATGGAGGAGAAGGGATTGTAGCGTGGCCATCTCCCTGGGGAATGATTTCCTACTTTCTTTCTCTCAGTTTCTTTTCTGTGTCTCTGGCAAGCACATATGCCCTATAGCAAATAAAAACTCTCAATAAAAAAGGTTTTGGAAAATTGGTAGTTTTGACCAGTTTGATCAATTGATCATCCACATCTTGATTTTTTAGGGAACTGTTTATCATGAAATTGATTTTTTTGGTGGATTGGCAAATTCAGAGGCTGCTAGAGACAACATCCAAAGTGCTCCCTATGAGGTCTGGGGGAAGGCCATCAGAATTACCTCTTCCCTTCTCTTACTTTGGCCAGAGCCAAGAGCCCCCAACTCTGCCCTCAATCTTCCAGAACATTCCAGCCTTCCCATGCTCTTCAGGGCCTGGGAACTACCACATTTAAAAAAATTCTTTTTTTTTTTTTTTTTAATTTGTTTTTTTAGTCTTAGAATGAGACTAATGGTGACCACATTTAAAAAAAATTTTTTTTTTTTTTTTACATTTGTTTTCTTAGTCTTAGAATGAGACTAATGGTGCTTGTCTTTAGGATCAAGCAAGTTAACATTTGACAGTATTTTAGACGTCTGTTCTCTTTATTCCTTTCAACACACAAACATTTAAATTGCTCCAGGAATGTGGGTCATGAGCTCATAGCCGAAACTCAAACGCATAACTCTGGGGTTTAATCCCATTTCTGACACTGACCAGCTTGTGTAATCTTGAGCAACTGACATAACTTCTTACTGAGGTTTAGTTTCTTCTCCTGTAAACAAAGGCCAAATAGTTCCAGCCTACGGACTTGTGTTAAAGATAACTGTGTAAAGTACTGAGCTCAGTGCCTGGCTCTAGTTAGAGCTCAATTCATAATAGACTTTTGCAATTATCATTATCATTGTTATCTGAGAACTATACTTCTAAGCTTAGGTGAATATCTTCATGTCTTTAGCTCAGTAAAATACCAAATGGTAGAAGCAGTTTAGATCCATGGTTCTCAAAGAGGGCTTCAGAGATTCCTGCTACACCTTTGGAGGGTCCATGAGATCAAAACTATGGTTCATTAATATGACTACGGTGTTGTTTGCCTTTTCATTCTCATACTCTCATGAGTGGGCAGAGGAATTTTCCAGAGTCTACATGATCTGTGATAACACAGTAGAAGGAAGGCATCCTCTGTTGTTGGGCATTTAAGAGATTTGCTAAACTATAAAACCACGCCCCTCTTCTCACTTACTTATGTGTTTTGTTTTTTTTTTGAAAATACAGTTATTTTCATAAAAAGTACATTATTTTTGTTAACATTTCATAGACCGCCTATTGTTTTACAATGGCTTTATAAATACAGATTGTTCACAATGGTTTTAATTTCTAATATCGTAAATAACGATTACTATAGCCGTGCAAACACATTCTTTGGGGTCCTCAGTAATTTTTCAATGTAAAATGTGCAGAGAGCAGGAACTTTGAGAATGGCTGGACTCGATTATTGTAATAGGCCAAGTCTGGGGTTTTTATGTGCCAGACGCTCCATATATCTTACTCATTCACTCTTTCTACAAGAGACATTTAACAAGGACTTCCTGTGTGCCAGACACTTTGAGAATTGCTGGGGAAATAATGAAGAACAAAACACGTCCCTGTAGGGGACAGGCCAACACATACCCATTGAGCAACGCAAACACCTAGACCTTAACGTCAGCCCTTATGAGGCAAAAGGAAGGAGAGACTTGTGTGGGCTGGAGGTAGGGGCTCCCACGTGGGAGTCGAGCGGCTCAACCACCACGCCACCTGCCAGCCCCAAGAATGAATTTTCTTACAGTTTGGGAGCTAGAAGCCCAAGATCAAGGTGCCTAGTGAGGGCTCTCTTTCTGGCTTACGGAAGGCCACCTTCTTGCTGTGTCTCCAAAGAGAGAATGAGAGAGAGAGAGACAGAGTCCTCACCAGCGTTTCTTTTCATAAATTCATGAATTCTATCAAACCAGGGCATCACTTCCATGACCTCATTTAACCTTAACTCAAACTTCCCATTTTTGACTTTATGAAACTCTACTTCAAATTTTGACTCTCGATCTTCTCCTGAGCCAGCGACTTGCTGTCTGATACTCTCTCAAGGTCAATTCTCTTTCCAAGCCAAGTGATCTACAGCAATCGAATGTATAAAATAATAAAAAGATGCCCAACAGCAGCGAGTCGCAGCTCCCCTCAGTCACGTGATCTGAGGGAAACAACCGAGACTCTCTGGAGAACTGTGTCCACCAGCTTTTTTTTTTTTTTTTTTGGATAATGTGGTTTATTTTCACATCCCATCATGCCTACAAAATGCCCATGCCCATCTGCGTCTCTTGCTTCTGATGAAAAAAAGAAGACGAAAGCAATCTCAGAAATGTATTTCGGGGACCAGCAGTTAGCGTAATGGCTATGTCGCTGGACTCCCATGTAGTCGACTGCGGTTCGAGTCCTGGACCTGGCGGCTTAAAACTCATGCTAGGCGCGCGCGTGTGTGTGTGTGCCCAAGACCCCGAGAGGAGAATGGAGGAGAAGGGATTGCGGCGTGGCCATCCCCCCTGGGGGGTGATTTCTCGCTTTCATTCTATCTCCTCTGTCTGTCTGGCAAGCGCATGCGCCCTATAGCAACAACCTCTCCAAAAAAAAGAAAAAGAAATGTATTTCGACTTACACTGGGTTTATCGAGACGCTGTCTCCAAGTACAGCCACATTGTGGGGTCAAGCGTCAACACTGACTTTAGGGGGACACAGACATTCAGTCCCTAAAAGGACTTTTTCCCAGGGTCCCCACCTGCCTGTTCTGAATTCTACTATCCACACCCCACTGAGAAAGAAACTGCTGGTGGAGAAAAAGAAAAGCTTTCTCACTCCTAAAGGGGAACGAGAATAAAGGCAAATGAAAAATATTCACCCAGGCAGGAAATATATACAAACTTGGCAAAGCCCTCCCTGAATTCCCACACCAAAGCAAACAGACACCGGAGGCTCCCACTACTGCCGTCTCAGTTTATTGAACTAAAAATATTTGCCACCCAAATGCTTTTATTAGTGGTATGATTAGGATTTTTTTTATTTTCAGCAAAGTCATTACCAAGTAGAAGCCTGTGGACATGTAAAAAAATACCACAGAAGGAGCCTAAGGTGGAAGCTTTTCCTCATTCCTCTGACAGAATCTACATCAATTTATTTCCCCCCCTTAATCTTATTATTTTTTAACTACATAAAAATGCTTTATTGCAGGAAAATTGGAAAGTGCAGAAGAAAATGAAAATCACCCATTTTCCCTATGTGGAGAAGGAAATTCTACTATTTCATTTCCTTTGCTTTTTTTTTTCCCTCCCATCAACATTCATATGAGTGGATATATATAAACATTATCACTATTAATATTATTAAATAATACAAATAATAATAAATACAAAAATAATATCAAACTTGGTATAAATTCTTCTCTTTATACTATGTATCATGAGTATCTCCCCATGTCCATAAATATAGATTACACTCTTTTATAAAAAATTTACGGGGACCAACAGTTAGTGTAATGGCTATGTCGCTGGACTCCCACGTAGTCGACCGCGGTTCGCATCCCGGACCCGGTGGCTTAAACTCACACCGGGCGCGTGTGTGTGCACGCCCAGGATCCCGAGAGGAGAATGGAGAAGGGATTGCAGCGTGGCCATCCCCCCCTGGGGGGTGATTTCTCGCTTTCTGTCTCTCTGTCTCTCTCAGTCTGTCTGGCGAGTGCACGCGCCCTATAGCAAAAACTTCTCCAAAATTTTTTTTTACTTAATTCTATTTATATTATTATTTTCTAACTCGCTACAGGGCATGTACATTCACCAGATAGAGCCAGAGAGAGAGAGAGAGAGAGAGAGAGAGAGAGAAGGTGAGAAAGTGAGAAAGCAAGCCACCAGGTCCAGAATCGTGGTCGGTTATGTGGGAGTCTAGTACCACATGCTGGCCCCCCTCATTTTTGTTTTTAAATTTGCTAAAGAGCAATGTGGACTCCCCAGAGAGACAGAGAAAGAGGGGCTGGGAAAGCAAGAAAGCATGCCCCATGGGGGATGGTCACACCACAAACCCTCCTCCATTTCATCTTTTGGAATTCTGGGCACACGTGCACACAGGCCTGGCATGTTTTTCAAGCTGCTGGGTCTGGGTCTCAAACCATGTGATCAGTCATGTAGGATCCAGCCATTTTATCCACCATGGCACCAGCTGGCCTGGATCGATCTCGTCTTCAATGCCTACTCTACTATTCTGTTACAGGGATATCATTAGACGAATTTCTATTGATACAACTTTAGGTTGTTTCTCAATTTTTTTTCTCGTAAACAAAGCTGATATAGGAATCCAAGTAGCTAAATATTTGTACTCATTCCTGTTTTCTTTCTCAGGATAGAAAGTATTCAGTAGTAGTATTTCTGAATGAATATACAGTTTTGTTTTGTTTTAAGAGATTTTTGCAATAGGGTGCATGTGCTCGCCAGAGAGAGAAAGAGAGAGGCAAAACTTAAGTAAGACATCACCATTTAGGAGGATGACCATGCAGATCCCTTCTCCTCTATTCACTTGGGATTTTGGGCACACATGCACATGTGCCTAGCATGAGTTTCAAGCCTCAGGTCTGGGACTTGAACTGCAGTCAGCAACATGGGAGTCCAGTGCCTTACCCACTATGCCACAGGCTGACCCACACAGTTGTTTGTTTTGTTTTGTTTTTGTTTTTGTTTTGTTTTGTTTTTCATTATAGAGAGTGGATGCATGCCAAAAGAGAGAGAGAGAGAGAGAGAGATGGGACCAGCAGTTGGTGAAATGGCTATGTCACTGGACTCCCATGTAGTCAACCACGGTTCAAGTCCCAGACCCAGTGGCTTAAACTCATGCCAGGCGCATGTGTGTGTGCCCAAGATCCCAAGATGAGAGTGGAAGAGAAGGTATCGCGGCATGACCATCCCTCCTGGGGAGTGATTTCTCGCTTTCTGTCTCTCTGTCTCTCTCTGTCTTTGAGAGAAGCACCCTCAGTAAGGTCTGGTCATGTCACAGTTTCCTTCCTCATCAGGATCCTGGGCACATACTCATGCACCTGGCACGTTACAGGCCTACTGGACCGGGGAATCTAAATAGTGTTTGGCCACATGGCTTCCAAACTGCAGTTTGGTAAGCTACCAACCACACCACAGAAGCAGGGCTGATATACCTAGTTTTGCTGGTGTTCTTGAATGTCCACAGAATACATCTATATACATTTCGCTATTAAAATGAAGGGCTCCCCTTCCTTTTCCCTTGTTGGGAGACATCTTTGGAAAGACAGAGGGAAAAGGCAGAAATTTTTTAAAATGTGAAAACACATCAATATTATACTATGAGTGTTAATCATTAAACTGGAATTGTGAGAAAGGTGCTCACCTGAGAACGGACACAAAGACACGAGGTACAGCGAAGCGAGAGTTTCATGGCAGTCTTGCAAAATCAGGTGTCTGATAGGCAGGCACACCTAAAACAGCTACAAAAAGTAATTTATTCCCTAGTACGCAAGTCCCTCTTCCAGTTACTCATTGTCTGAGTATTCTAGGTGCACAATCTTCCCGAAGTCGCCTAAGTTTCATTACTCCCTTCCAAGGCATTTATCGCCCCTTCTCTCTTGTCTGACAGAAGGCATAGGCTCAGGACAACCCCATGAAAAAGGCCCCCCAAATGTCCTGAGGAGGGGGAAGAACCAGAAAGTAAAAAGGGGCAAAGGGTTGGTGCCCAGCCGCCATCTTGAAAAGTCATTGCCCAAGCGTGACCTGTTGTTCTTACCTTTTCCTCAGGAACTTCGCAGGAATGAGTGCTTTCTGAGGCTGTCACATCTGCAAGCTGTTTAAGCAAGGTTTGTTAAGCTATTCTTGAAAATGAATCACTTAAGGGACCAGCAGGTGGTATAATGGTTATGTTGCTGGATTCCCATGTGGTCGACCACAGTTCAAGTCTCGAACCCGGGGGCTTAAAACTTACGCCGGGCCCATGTATGTGCATGTCCAAGATCCACGAGAGAAGGACGGAGGAGAAGAAACTGTGGTGTGGTCATTTCCCCTGAAGGGTGATTTTTCACTTTCTGTGTCTCTCTGGCAAGCACACACGCCCTATAGCAAAAATCTCTCTCAAAAAAGAAAAAGAAAAAGAAAAAGAAAAAGAATCACTAGGCTATTTTCTTACAAATTGCACCCCATATATTTAACTAACATAAATTTAATTGTTTTTATTAAACGTAAAACCTCATGATATTAAGGTAGGTCATTATTTTATGTAAAATTAACAATGACAAAAAAAAAAAGTTCTTTTAATTAAACTACAGCCCCGTGCCTTAATAAAGCTATGTGACACTGTGATTGGTTACACCATTCCTCATTTGAAATTCCTGTCATCTCTTCCAGGGGATTTGGCAACTTCTCGTGCCTCATCGCCTGGCACGGTGTATCATAAACACGTTTGCACATACCTCAGTGACAAAATGTGACACAGCTCCGTCTATTGGTGGTTTTTCCCTTTGTAGGTGTTAGGTAAAGAAGTGGCTGTTGCTTTGCAAGAAAATAAGAAACTGGATAAGTTATTCCTCCAAAGACGAGAATGCGCTTCACAAATAGGAAATTTCCACACTACTGGTCCGTTTGGGCCTTGCCGCGTACCCAGAGACTTTCCATTTCCATGCCAAATCATATCACAGCATAATCTTTTTGAAGACATTTCAAGTGGCAATTAAAATCAACACGTGATGTACTGGCACTGTACATAACTCAGTTGCAGTGACAACAATGTGAACGGCTGGGATCAGATTTGCTCGAGCACAGAATGAAACTGTATCGTCGCTGTTGCCTGACTGGAGACAAGCTGTAAAATCCATCCCAATTTCATGGGAGTTTAAAATGAGAAAACCTGTGCGTTTAAAACTTGATGGTATATTATTAGGAGGAGCTTCAAAAACTGAGGTAAAAGGGAGGACCATTAATGCACGTTTGTTGGTAATTAAACTCCCTTATTCCCCTTCACAAGTGTGTGGCCCAGAGCACGCATGGGATGGGAAAGATGGATCTGCCCCACACTCTGTTGGTGACGGTTTCCCCCTGAGTCTCAGAGAGAGGACATCTTTGCCCTACTGGGGATGGCTCTAGAGTTCAAGATACACAGAAATCCATAAACTATACTGGCTTAGATAGATGATGATGGATAAATAGGTAGATAGAAATACAGATGGGTGTAGCTCAATCTGATCCCTACAACAAACCCAAGAAATAACATCCACTCCAATTTTGGAGGAAGACTTTCTAAGTGACAGCGTGTAGCTTTCTAACACACTGTCTTCCAAAGGACTTGGACGAGTAACTGAATTCTGAGATTTGTCACCTCAGGTGCTCGTCCAAAGTGGAACTGGGATGTTAAAGGTAGAGAGCGAAAACGAGCCAATGGAATGCAAGAGAAGAGAAGAGGGAGAAAACACAGAGGAGAAAAGAATACTCCCCCATTGGACCCCTATAATGGGATTCTAGAGGGACTGCAAGGGATTCAATGGAAAAAGTCTTCCTTTTGTTCGACCCCAGACTTCCCTTTTCTTTAAGACAAGTCACACGTGTAATTGTTTTCTTTGGCACCTGTGTGCCTTTGACAATTAATATTAGGTTGTCAGGAAAGTCATGATATGTTTTTACATTGAAAAATACCTCATGATTTTCCCGACAACCTAATAGATGTTGTGAGTTTCCACAGCAAGATAACGCTTATTGAATGGCCACTAAACTTCACCGAGATTTAAGTGTTACTGAACCAAAGCATTTGGGCTGAGTCTAGCCACTCACCACACAAAAAAGCCAGTCTCTGAAATGAGAGTTCACAGAGAGGACAGCTTGAGTCCATCAATGTCAGCTGAGAAACAGGGCTCAGACCAGACTCCCTGGATGAGCAGAGTCTGGAGACTTTAAGGAGGGGGAGGGATGTGGCTATGTGATGGTATGTAAGTGAAAGGTCAAGGGGCAAACAGGTGACTTCATTAAGACATCAATCTTGGGGCCAGCAGGTGACGTGGTGGTTAAGGGCACTGGACTCCCACATGGCTGATCGCGGTTTGAGTCCCAGACCTGGCGGCCTGCTGTCTCATTTTCCCTCGTTCTCACACTCTATCCCTCTCTGGTCAAATTAAAATAAATAAATAAATTTAAATAAAATAATTCTTTGAAAATAAAAAGACATCGATCTTAATCCTGAGGGAGAATGTCAGAGCACCTTCTCATTCAAGTCAGGGAATCTGGTTTGTTTCTGGTCCTTGCTCGTTCTGGGAAAAAGACTCAAAACATACATGCTTGATGTTATCAGTCTATAAGGACAGGGGTCCCCCACCTTGGGCCCTAGACTGGTGCCACATAGCTGGGAAGTATCTCTTCCTCTTGAGAGAAAGAGATGAAGTGAGTGGGTTCTGGAGCCAGCAGGCCTGGTTTCTATGCTCCAGACCAGCACGCTTTTGAAAAAGTATTAGGGGGAACCAGCAGTTAGCGTAATGGCTATGTCGCTGGACTCCCACATAGTCGACCGCG